TATCTTCAATGCACACTAATTAAGATCGACGATCATTCGAGTGTATAGACACTTCTTTCCGCATATCAAACATGAATGAAGAGGTGTACACAAGGATAATTGGAATCGCTAGATGAAAACCCTACTCTCATTCTTCTACAAATTATATCATCTTTTCCCTGGGCATTTTTCCGTGACGTCAAAAGAGGTACGCTTTTCGCGTACATATAACTTTACATTCTGCACATCTTTCGGCGAAACAATAAAATAAATCTAATATTATATCCGCACCCAACACCTAGCGTTTGGCTCTTATTGCCCCTCTATGCTTATTAACTTAAACGTTTATCAACAGAGCCCAAATATTTACTAAGTAATAAAATTAATATTACGAGACGCAAATCCTTCGCGACTGAAAAATCGAGAGTCTTTACGCAAACCCCGTTTACGTGGATAAATCTGTTTTCCTTCCAAATTTCCGCAATTTTGGAAAACGCAAGCTACGGGCCCTTAATAACTCTTGCGTCGCAGACCGACATCATATCGCCTAATGTAAAGCGGCTGAATTCGAACGAGAGCAGGAAATTGCCGCGCACGGAGTTCGTTCGTGCCCGCTTAGAGTGGTTATATTAAACCAATTTCGCAGTTTGAATTCACTTCAAACTTGCACCGCACTTCCATGTTACGATAATGAGATCAGCGAAGCCAAGTAGAGCGGCGAGCCGTTGCGTGCGATGTCGATTTTATTGCTTATCGCATCGCTCTTTTCCGATATTCTCGCGACACACGTGTATCCAGGAGTGTCCGAAAGTTAAGTAAATAGCGGATCGCAGATTGTAAAAGAACTCAACCGAGTTAAGAGGACACAATTCGCCGGTGGTGGTCCTGAAGTAAATATTCCGACGTAATTTCCACGATAAAATCTGGCTTACTCATTTAACACTTGAGATGCAACGAGGAGATAATTCCTCCCGCGGAGATTATTCCGGAATGTAAATGCACTTCGCGAACTTACTTCGGGACCGCCGGATGTTCTCGTAGGTCAGCCGAGCCCGTCTCTGAAACATTCTTTTACGAGCGATTGCTCCGCAATAATTCGCGAATTTGCCGTCGCGAGCTCAAGCAAACAGCCGTGAAACGTTAAGTCCCGCCACGTGGATCGATGGCTATCGGTCGGGCGTGATCGACGCGTTCTCATTTTACGGACGTATAATTTCGCCGTAGCATCGTACGCATCGATCCGTATGCGACGTATGTACGTGGACGTCATTTTTCTTTCGCGACATTTAAATTGCAGGTGAATCGAAGTTCGTGAGTTTTTCACGGAACGGTGACGGCGAAACTCCGGCGAATCGCCGATGAGAGCTCTCTCGGTTTCCCGGTGAAATAAAAAAGGAGAGAAAAGGAGTGCAGTGGGGAGGAAAAAAGTTGGAAAAAAAATCGAATAGAGGAAGAGGGGAAAATATACGGCACGGTTAACGTATAAACTCGCGGCGTACTGCGGCGTGTGTGCTATATCAAGAACGCGAACGCGGCCCGCTTCCCGAGCGCGTCCGGATATCCGGGTGATATATTTTACACGCAACATGTCTGTCCCGCGACGCGCGATCGACCGCGATGAATTTTTCAGGGGTTTTCGTGCCTTTCGACGTTTCCTCCCCCGTCGCTATCGGCGGCGCCGCGTTTCCGCGGCGATGAGAAAATTACGTCGTAATTCGCTAATGCACGGCGCGAGCGACCGGCGGTCGCAATTTCGGGTGTATTCGGACAATCTCCCGACGTGAGCGGAGGCTGCGTCCTCCCTGTCTCCGATATACGGGAGATCACGACGTGCGTGCACATCGCGTGATGAAGCTCAAGGATAATAGTGAACTCATCGGGACAATTGAGGAGCGGAGTTCAACGGTACTGTTTTAAGAACAAACAGTAACCGAAGCTGTTTTTCGTGGCCGATGTGCTGGCGGCGACTCAAAGTGCAATATACCTAATTTCCACAACACATATTCTACATGTTCCTCTCTCTGTTATTATCAGATTAATTACCGGATTTATACGAAGATTTTGAAATAACGCATCCTGCCAGATCCACCTTTCGGAACACAATCGCACCGATGAACATTGATACATTTATCCTATCAGCGGTATACTGGAAGCGCGTAACGCTTTTGTACGTGTACTGGGATTATACGCACGTGTATTTAGCCATAGAATATTTAGCCATCCACTTAGTCACACACCGTGTCCATTAGTCAACTAACAGAGCGTGTCAAATATTTGCGATCATTATGTAATTATGTAAAATTAACCAAAAGCCTCTCTCGCTTTCAACCGCGAGTAACTCGAAAGCTGCCCCTTTCGCTCCGGGGAAAATCATCAATTTGATTTCACCGAGGAACAAAAAACTTGGAGATTTATTTTCAAGTCATATCACATCGCCTGCGCCATTACTACCGCACGTATTTTCTCAAAATTTCCGCCCTTTGTTTGAACAAGAGACATTTGTTCGCCACCACATCCGCGCGCGTGCGCACGCTGCGCCGTTCAGTTGATTTTAATTACTCAATTTAAATTTTCTCAAAGTCCAATTTTATCTCGCTCAAGATTGAAGCGTAGGGTGAAACTTATGGAGAGGAATTTATGAGTGACTTTGATAGGATTAAGGGATTATTTCGGTGCGAAGAAACGCGATCACGTCGCTGCAAGTGTCACGTGTATTGTATGCCACGTGTGCCGTTGTCGCTATCGTGCGAATTACGTGCGCTAGCGTGACGGATACAACACTTGCGAATGCGAACGGTGATATAGCCGCGGTTTAATTAAAACGTGCCGCATTGCCGTATACACGGCAGTGGCGAAAGCGTTCACGAAATTGTTTCGTGTCGGACATGAGAAAAAGAGAAGACACGTCTCGTCTTTGTTGCAATGCACGCATGCAACAGTAGAAAAAAAACATTGGTAGCCCGTCGCTTCTTCACATCCGCAATTATCGATCGATCAAACGAGAGAAGGAGGGAAAAACTGGTATAATTTTTTATTAAATATATAGAAAATGTAACGAAATTATTTAATAGAGTACAATTTAATGATATTATTTATATTTGTTTATATATCTACATTTTTACGTCGTATTTTACTTAGGCTCAACATTTTCTTTATTATTGTAGTCACAGTTTTTTTCATAACTTTAAATTTTTATATTAAAAAATATTAGCGCCAGTAATCCACTTTGCGGTCCCGTCTTTCTCGTGGTTTCTTTGTACTTATTGCGAATATATTTAGTTTTATTATAAGAATACTCCTTTACAAATGAAAACGTTTTCCTTTATTAACCCACTTTTCCCGCCTTTGCCACGAATGAATCTGCAGAACCAGACTAGACTTATCGTAATCTGATTAATTAGTATGACATTTATTTCAATTCATACCGCTTTATAGCGCTTTTCGTAAAATAAATTTATACAAGTACAGGAACCTAGAGCATTTCTAGACCAAACGGAAAGATTTGAAAGAAATAGGAAAACTGCGTCTCATCAGAAACTGCTCTGGGGAAAAAAAAGTCAGCAGCCCATTTTGGGGCCCACAATTAGTAATCGAATTATTCGGATCGCTCTACTCTGGGAAAAATGTTAACCGTTTTCTTTTGTAGTTAACTTAACATTGCGGTTAGTGCCGCTTAAGTGAAAATTATCTTTGCGTTACTGAATATCGACAGAACTAATTGAGAGAATTGATTAGTGTTACTTAAAAATCTTGGATATAGATGAATAGCTAATTACGATTTTTAGTTACGCGGGGTAAAATTCGTAAAAGATTTACGAACAATCTAAATAACTCGATTACTAATTGTGGGCCCCAAAATGGGTCGCTGCCTTTTTTTTCCGCCAGAGTACGAAAACTGCGTCTCATCAGAAACTGTAAACGGCGAAGCCGGGCAAACAAAACCAAACTGAGAATGCACGATTCTCGATAACAAGAAGTTTGAACTCGAACTCAATACAACGGGCGCGTTCGTATGAATTTCTGATCTTATGTTGGCTTTTCTGAAGTGACTTATTCCGCTGCGTTTTTTATCTGACAAAGATAACAGCCAACGTGATAAAAATTGCGAAACGTTTACGTGAAGATCAATCGCTCAATGCCAGACATTCGACATACATTGTGGCTTTTAATTTATTTCGGAGTAATTGCATTGCGATTTTTGCATGCTGAAGATTTGCTTCAGTTTTACGCGTGTCCGACTCAAACATTTCTCCGATTTACAAGTGTATCTTCTTTCCCTGCAGATTTCGCGCTCAAATGATATTCAATTGCATTTTACAGTCATAAACAGAGACGCGGAGCAATTGCAAAGTTAAAACTCTTTAGTTTCCTTGGTAAATTAATTGACAATCAGATACTTCCTCGTCGCCAGATAGAAAGACAAGAGCAGGAACGGGCAGAAACGAGAAAATTAGATACCTACGTATTGCCATTTGCGAAACTGCTAATGAATCTCATTAACCCTTTTCTATCCTACTTTCTCCTCATTTCGTTCCTCTGTCTACGTTTACTCGAATGCACGTTAAATGAAATTAATGCTTAGACCCGTTCGTCATATCGTACAAATAAATGTTTTCATTCAAGTCATATATCACTGTGCAATGTTAGTGAACGTGAATATGAATAAATTATTTCGGAGAGGGCTTATAATTAAACGTCGTGTGAATTTCGCGTTAGAAGACTCACATTGTGTTCGCAAGAAACTTACGAGACCGAGTATGTTTCGGCAGACAAGTTCGAAACAGATTACATATCAGTTTTCGATTTTAACTATCCAACGAACAGTAGTTTTGCTCGTATATCTCTTTCGTCTCAACTCCTCGTCGCAGAGAATACTCTGACATGCCCTTTAAGATAAATGCAAACGTCAGTTGCAATAAGTTTAATTTTAAAATAAATGTAAATGTCACTGGCAGTGACAACCTAACAGAATTTACAGAGAGGCGAATTGTTTGTCCTAATTAAAGATTATTGTTTGTTAGACAGTGTCGGTGAGTATCAGCGTTTTGACGCTGACTTTCATATCGATCGACCGGTGGTACGCTATATGCTTCCCATTGAGATTCAAGTCTACGACAGCCCGAGCGAAAACCGCTATCATAGTCATCTGGATGATATCTCTACTTTTTGGTAAGCATACGTTATCAGGCGCAGGCACTTTAACGAGCGACGAGTAATTTTACTTTTTAAATCAATTTAACCAATCGAGTATTAGCGTATCTTGTTGCTGTATCAGCTGACTTTTTTTTAACTATAATAAATATAACAATGATCAAGCTTCTAATCGACCATGACTGGCGATGTGTTTTTAACACAGAAAATTTATTGCGAAAAATATTACCTCAGCCAGGATTTAAACCTGGACCCTCCCTACACTCTAGGCGGGCGTTTCACCTAGAGTGTAGGGAGGGTCCAGGTTTAAACCCTGGCTGAGGTAATATTTTTCGCAATAAATTTTCTGTGTTAAAAACACATCGCCAGTCATGGTCGATTAGAAGCTTGATCATGTTAATCATTTGCTGGCGTCAAATAATTCTTGATGATAATAAATATAATTTTAGCCCGCCTGTCCGAGAATCGAGGGAAAGTAAACGACGCTTCATTTATTATTTAGCCGTTTCGTGTAAAGTTAAATTTGCAAAAAGACCTTCCATTTTTAATGTAAAACTTGTTGCGGCTCGGATATTCTTGCTCGGGGGAAAATTAATTCCCAACTTTTACTGAATGTGTTCACTTTGCGTCAATTCCGGGACGCTGCGTGCTAAAGACTAATTCATATTTCAATATTATAATATATATACGATACCGTATTTCAACACTGCATGTTGTTTCATAGTAATCCTAATAGCTTCGCTAAATATTTAAATATTATTTATCAAGCGCCGTAAATTCTCTTTTAAGGATTTAGATGCGCGCGCGGTATAGAATCGACGTATTCGCTCGTGTAAATTTTTTCTTACGGCGGTAGCCGAAAGAAACTTCGCTTGCAGGAGTACAACTCTATCAATATTCTGTGTCTTTTGATCAGACGTTCCAGAATTACTGGTGTTGCACACAGTGCCGTCAAACAGTAGAGTGCCAACTGTATTATTTACGCAGTGTGTTTGGTCGTGGAGCCGGGAAAGTCAAACTACCTTCACGATTGTCAAATTGATCTTTCTGTACACGATGCCGTTGCTTTTCATGAGCGTGGCGTACTGGCAGATTGTGCGCGTTCTTTGGAGAAGCGATATTCCAGGACACAATTGTAAGAGAGATTTTATCTTAATTATACCCGTTAATTGGAATTGATATATTGTAAATGATATAACGCATTTTTTCATTCTTACTGCAAATTATTCCCTTTGATTCCGCCTTTGAGAATTCTTGCTCGATCTATTGTACCCGTTGAAGTAATTTTTAAATCTTTCGACACACACCAGCGGGGAAACGTATGTCTCAAGAAACGAATTGAAAAATTCTTTTGAGGACGTAAATCCCGAATTGCGAATAGAGAAAAAGGATAAAAATATATCTTTTCCTTGTGCGATATTGAAGCGTATAGAGTAAATCATTTAATATTAGAGCATAAAAGTTTCTTCTCCGTTTCTTACAACAGTTCGAAAAAGTATACGGGAAGAAATATGTATTTGCTTCGAATAGACGATAAAGAATATTCGTGAGTTCTCCGAGTGCGTAAAAATTTATATGATGTTTCGTCGAAAATTACGAGGTAAGCCCTTTTCCCCTTTTCGCAAGGATCTTTTCTCCACCATCTGTTATCCGTAATGCATCATATATCAATATACGAGTATATAATTCGCTGACAAAATTTACCGAGTTTTGCACGCGATAAATTGGCATGCAGATTTTTCATACAGGTCCGATAATCTCGCAACGTCGTCTGCGATGACAAAACCGGTTCTAGATATACGTACAATTGAAATTGGAATCATTATATCTAGATTATGTCATAAGCTGCTTATTTTGCAAAGCGATGCGAGTCGCCTTTTGAAATAAAACGTGGTCTCGATTATATCCGATCTAAACGAATGGAATGGCAGTCGACATTGTACTGTACTTTGAAACGATAGAATTCTAGGAAAAAAAATAGACCGCGATGAAACAAAAATTCCATACATACTGTAGTAATATAGAGGCTCAATAGCTATGAAAATTCATATTACACAAATGTCAATAAAGCAAGTTAATGTTATGTTACTTTTGTGTGTCAAGCAAGAGTTCTCAATAAATTAATATCATTTTCTTCCGGTTATGTGCTTTGAAATACACGAAACATTATTCAGATATTAAATGCAATATCATTTACGTTGATAATAACCCATTATTGCACGTGCCGGATATTATTAAAAAGTTTTGTATTAAACTTTTGTATAAACTTTTATATTGTATATAATATAATATAAAGCTACAATCAGGTATTTCACATAGACTGACAAATTCTGGATAACGATCTATCAAAAGATATTTTGTTTCGATTTACACGAAATAATTTCAAGTAAAATTTTGAAAATGAAGTTTGAAATAAAATCGTCAACTAATCATTTCTGGTTTATTTTTACAGTGTCTACCAGAGTCTATCATTCGACTGAGATTCCACTGTCCGGGGGTGGAAACCCGGAGGGTCAATTAAGATCTCGACGAAAAGCGGCGAAGATGTTGGTCGCCGTAGTCATCACATTCGCGATATGCTTCTTTCCGGTGCACTTGCTTTCTATTTTAAGGTGTGCTTCGCGACTCAACTTGTGCAACTCTTCTATTCCCTTTTAGTCTAGTGCATTATCGTAAAAATATGTTGCACGTGATTTTTGTTTTAACTTCGACATTGTGATTGATCGCGATAATATTTAATGTCGATAATTTGATATCGATGTCAAACGACAAAGTAACAACATTATTATTATGTGAGAATTATTTTTGCACGTGCAATGCGACAAACAGTAAAAACGGTAAATTCCGTACGTGTAATATATTATACTCTATCAACTTTATTCAATTTGCAAACGGTTATCTACACATAAGGGTACAAATATTATCAGATTGAATACTGTATTACGAGCTCTGAATTAAATTAAGTGGTAAAAATTAAAGAATATTGCTCTTTATAAAATTTTGAGTGCATTTTATCTCACAAAATCCTATTCAAATTAATCTCGTAAGAATGACGACAAAAAAACGAATGGATATAAAATATGTGTATAATGGTCGAGAATTTATAATATTTCCAATTTTCCGGAACACCAGGTGTTCTACCAGCACTTTCTTCCAATATACTGTACACAATTATTTTCGTGCCATAGTCGTAATAACTTTTCTCAATTTTTTATCACAGATAATCTGTACAAAGATTTTTTCGATATTTTTCACTCATAAATTCTTTCGTAATTTAAAACCAATTTTGTTCCAAGATTTTTGTTCTTGTTTTCAATTATAAGTATATAATATCAATGAATATTTATTGGATTCAATTAAAATCAATCTCTGCAATTAAACCAATTTCATTAATATTTATTTAAATATAAAACAACTTCTATTTTTGAAAACTTGGTCTTCTATTCTCAATCGCTCATAACTTAGGTCTGCGGCTATTGAATTATTTTTTGTTAAAAAGTGACTTTATATAAATTAATTAAAAAATGCTTTAACTAATAAAATATTCAAGTCATCTCGTACAGAGGAGAATGAGATAACAGATGAATTAAAACGAGTGCTATTGTATTTTTAAAAAAATAGGAGAAGACCAATAAAACTGAACAGTTGAACGTTTTGTATAACTTGTTAAATGTATGAAATTTTAACAATATCAGTACTGCCTGTCGTTTCACACGTAAAAGTAATTTTCACGAAATAATAAAAAAAAATTAATCTTCGCTTCGACGTTCAACGACGATATTAAAAACGCATATATTACGTAATGAATGAATTTATTGTTTTAGATGCACCATGGCGTTACCGTCGAATCAATGGACGATCGCCATGAGCCTAATCGCCCATTGGCTTTGTTACTTCAACAGCGCGGTGAATCCTGTCATCTATAATTTTATGAGCGGTAAGGGATTCGCGCAGAAACGACGCTTTTTTCATTTAACGCCTAATAACGCCTTAACGTTACGTCTCTCGAACGCCGTCATGTTGAAAAAAAAAAATATCTCCGATCCGACCGGATTTATTCCGGGATATCCCGCGTATGTAACAGATATATACCGGTAATATTTTCCGGATACAGGGGCATATACAAGATTACCGGAATGTACGTAGTGACTTGTATTAAAATGCATGACGTGTCCGAGGTACGCAATGCTCGCCTACCGCTGTTTTGGCTGTTGCTTATTTGCCACGCGAAACTAGTCTGTTCCTCACGCTGAGTTAATCACCCGCGGCAACGGTTGCCAAAAATCTCATTTCATTTTTCTCCGCTTCCCCAAAAAGACCGCGATGAGCGCAGTCCCTTCGTCGGACTTTACAAATGAACTCGTGCGAGCCACAACGCAACGCGACGAGTCGTTTAAACGCTTTATCAAATATATACGTACGAATTTGAGAAATGAATTTTTAAGTATTAATTTCGCGCGAAAGATCCGAATCTCCTTCCGCTGGCAATGAGAGAAAGTAGCATGGAAGAACGGGCGGAAAAGGCACAGATATCTCTGTGAATTACCTTGGCAAAATTTTTCTTAAAAAATAACCCCCCCAAAAAACTATGTAGTTATCTTTCTGCAAACGTGAAGCTTGACATTTTATTCCTAATTTCGAAGATTAGCGGTTTAACTTTACTTACATTAAGCTTTTATCTTCCCGGCTAGATTCCACGAAGATTATATTAATCCTTTATTCGTAACAGGTCCATTAAGTCTGTATATGCGTTTCCGCGAGGATACGTGTGCAGAACCGATTAAAACGATTTGCCGCCGCGATATTTCGTATGCACGAAGTATCGCGCAGTACCGTACTATATTTTAATTAATAGCGTATTCTGGAGATTAATTAGAGTAGATGATCCTAATACGACTCACCCCACTAAATCTGTAATTGCGCGACGCGCGTATTGATCTGTCGCGTATTATTGATATCCATTTCGTGCATGCTATGCCGATTTTCTGCTCAGCTGACTGTCAGCGATGTCCGAAGGCGATAGCATCGTGACTTGGTCGGCTGGTAATTTATTTACGGATTAATTCGCGCGCGATTAACCAGTGCGATTCGCCGACGAGAAGAATAAGAAAACGGGATTAAAACGGCCGTTTATATTAATAATCGGGCTAAATTTGTGGCAGATTTATTTTGGATAATTACTCATAATTAATTCATTACGCAAAAACAATCAGACGTCGAGTATTTTTATTGCGAGTATAGAAATGGTTTTTAAATGTTAAAATGTGCGTGCGAATCGACAACTTTTATCACGTCATTGTCTGTTACTCTTCATTTCTCTTAATATATCGATATGTTCGTTATTTGTGCACACATTTTTACATAAATATAACGTTAATATTAAGTGTTTTAAAATATTGAATATTGCACGATTGATACTCTCGCGAAATTAAATTTACAAAATAAACGTTAAACTTGAGTAATCTGTTACATATAGGTATATAAAAGTGATTTTTTTAAAATTAAAATAAACATTTCTACTCAACTCGGAATTTTTATGTCATGTAAATTCCGATGTTTCTGATTCTAGAAACGAAATTGACGCTACTTATTATTCGCATTAATTACAACAAGCATTAATTTACGGCCGATTGTTGTGGCATTATTTCACGGAAGAAACACAAGCGTTGCATATAATAACAATGACGTAACAAAAATATCGTATTGCAAAGAGGCTCATAAATTGAAACATACTAGGTCACAGTTAGTCGCCCGTGAAACCATCCAAAACGATTGTGATTACCTTCAATGATAGATAACGCAAAATCCGAAACGACAGCAATATTTTCCGCGTAACCTGAGCATTTTGTATTACTGTCAAATACAAAGATCTCATATTTCCGATATGCGTCCTTGTGAATTGTTGCATTGACGCAAACATCCCGTTATTATATTGTCAATACGACATCAAATTTAATTCTGATACGATTGAAAATTATTTCTCAGTACAACAAATATTTTAACATATTGTACAACTAATTTACTCCACGAGCCAATTTTCCTAGCCAAGTAAAATATTCTTGTGTTTTGCGACAAAATATTTATCGGATCTGACCTTATTTTATTTTGTTTCATGAAAAAATTATTAATAAATAAGTATGGATGGACTAGGGAAAATTAAAATAAAAAAACCGACGCGTATAAAAAATAAATACGCATCAATAATCATTAGCGTGTTTTTCCCTTTTATCGAAATTATATGCTGCATGAAATATTATTCACCTTTTTATTCGCGCTAGTGATATTGTATTCAAAAGATTTTCCCTCCCGCCAATTTTTACCACATTTAACTGTGGAAAGAGATATAAAAAGATTCAAACTGCAGATGTCGCACACATAAAATAATATTTGAAAAAAGGCAGGACAAAAAACGACATATTTAAATATTAATATTTCCCTACTGCATTTCGAAAGTTATTTCATACATCTTTACCTCACATTTAATACAACACACGTATGACGCATTCTTCATCATCTTTAAAATAGAGACACTATAAAGATAATTTAAAAAATTACAAAGGTTTTACGCTCTAAAAATTTCAGTTCAGTTTCACTTATTGTATTACGTGTTTGTCCTATCTTTTTCTTTTTTATTATTTATCCAAGCAATGATTTAGAAAATGTTATTAAGCGAAAAATATTTGATATTAAAATACGTTATTAATATGTCACATCTTTATAGTCCTTAATTGTCTCTTGAAAATCTTTTCTTGTAAATAAAATGCTTAAAATGTCTTTGTCGGACTTGAAGATATTTCTTTTTTCGCCAAACTCTTATTCAAATCTCCGATAAATTGATGCTCAATAAATTACACAATACATGTTCCACAATTAAATATAAATTCTAATTTGTCTCGGTTCGTTTTAAGGCAGCGGAAAGGTGTTACGTTTCATCAATAACATTTTTCATCGTAACGTTTCCGATCTTCTCAAAATTGACGCGAAAATAACCGCGAGAAAATTAAATGTCAGTTCGAATAATATCGTTTGCATAAATGAATGGCAATCTTCACCAATTCACTGCCTTGTTAACACAACAAAATTATCTGTCACTCACCGATTCGATGTGTAGCGGCGGAGTTGCAGCGAAACTACGTTGATCTGTAAGACACAAAATACATCCGTGTTACAACCGCGATCACAATTAATACCCAAAAGTGATAAAAATGCGCGCGAGCAATTCTCTTTTTCAAATGGAAATAACACAACAATTATCGGACATTTAATTTAATCTTCAAATATTAATTCCGCGCAAACGACATTATTTATTACACATTGCTCACCTCACGGTTGCTCCGCCGGTGCCCGATGCCTCTCCTGGGGCCTCCACCTCCTCTCAGGTTGTCGGAATTTGTTGCACTCACTCACTCACGCACCACGCACTTCCGAGAGAACGCGCGTTAATTGCCGATCGCACTCCCGAGTCTCGTCCAACTTTCGTCGCGGTTATATTCTGGTAAAAAGGCAAAGCAAAAATCGCAGAGTCGCTAATTAAACGCCGCGAACGAGTCTCGCACCGCGGAGGGAATTGGCGAAAGTTAATCCGCGCGGTCAGTTTTCACGGGGCTGCGGTGACCTGTTGCTCCTACCTCATTTCCACGTATCTCTCGCGCGTGTAACAACGTCGAATATATTAGCGTACGCTCGCCCTTCGGCCGAATTATCACGTCGTATTAACGGAAACTCCTATAATATACGCGGTGAAATAGAAGGCAAGTGTCTTCGGCATGAATAATCTTCCGGGAACGTGGGCTCCGCGCGCAGCACGCGCAACCCCGATAAGTCTCGACCGGGGAATCTCCGCGCTTTAATGAACCGTTACTTCGAATTAGCTCGTACGGGTTAATTGGCGTGATATCGTGATATCGCGAGAGCGAAGGCCCGGGGATCAATAATCGTGATAACCACACGCGGCGCGATCCACGTCTGCGACCGCCCGCGACGGCAACTCAAGCGTGAATAACCGGCTCGAGCCGCCGAACGCCTCGAGTCTCACCTTGAACGGTGATAACGGCCGAGCGACCTCGGGTAAACACCGCGCGTCACACGCTGTTTTTATGCTGTTGTTTACGATGTCTATTCATTAAAGTATTACGCGCCGAAATATAACGTTTTCTATTTTACATCTCTCGTGGTTTCGTGCGACTGTCTCTGTTACTCGAAGCAAGGATTCGCGGTATTGCTTCACGTTCTCAATCCGCGGGGTGTGAAAAGACGCGTTTGAATCCGCGAGAGATGTATGTGTTAAGGTATCGCTGTAAAGGGGCAATCGTCGCCTGCGAATATTATAACGATGATTACATTGATTACGGCTTTTCGTCGGCGATCTCTGCGTCGAACGAGTCGCGTTTCTGACCGAAGAAAGGATCGCCATTGCTCTATCGTTTTGTCGATCTATTGATGTAATACATTGTATACGATGCACATATTACTATTAGCATATTTCGATTTTGTACGTATAATATGTGTATACGTAATTATTTAACTGTTTCTATTATTGAGAATTTAGATACTTGATTAATTACGCCATTATTTAATCTGATATTTGCTTGAAGAATACACTTATTTATATCAGAAAGCATTTACGTAAATTTATTTATCGTTTATACTTCTCTTGGAAAGTTATCTAAGAAAAAATGGGATTTAACTCAAGAAAATTAAGTCGAATCGCAACAAAGGTACGATTAATTTTCCTCACTCATTAAAATGGGATTATTATCGAAATGCCAAACACGAAAATGTAAGAAATGTAAACTGTATTCTTCAGACTTTGCTCGTTAGATTTGATAATTAATCAGACATTTAAGTCTGCAAAAGAGGAGTCAAATAATTTACGTGCAACAATTAAACCCTTGCCGAGTGATCAACCTGCTAATAATAGCTGTGTGCGTTTCGTAT